GGGCTCGAGGCCTCTCCCTCTGAGCTCAGTCTCTACTGGAACGAAACAGCCCCCGGCTTGTTCCTCCGGGACACAGGCCTGCCTTGTTAGGAAATCGGTGAAGTTTGGGAACCCACAATACCTCACATAGCTCTGTGTACAGTAACGGCGAGTGGAAATAGGGCCATAGGCATGAGCAACCAGACGAGCTATAAATATAGACTACTCTCGCAATTCCACTTTCGTTAGTCATGGGAGGACAGTGCGAGTTTTATAAACTTATAAGGAATATACAAACAGTTCTGAAATTAAAATAACTCGGTATAATTTTTTTAGTGTGTGTGCAAAGAATATTCTTTTTTGAGAGCGTCCATGTAAGCATCTGCTGCGCAGCGCGCGAGGGCCCGTGTATTTATGTGTTCACGCGACTGCGTGACTTGAGATTACAAAGAAGGTGCAAGGGGGGAGCCGGGGAGCTCCAGCGTGCCAAACAGCAGCTGAAACGTAGTGGGAGGTACGTGTTTAAAGTGCAAATGTGAGGAACGGGAATCCATCCGACGCCGTCTCGGGCTGCGCCGCAGCATCAAGCCGGCTCTGCCGCAGAGCTGAATCCCCGTCGGACACGGTGATACGGTTCACCTTGGTTGTCCTTCGTATAAATAAATAAATAAGGCTGTCTGGCACTCCCTAATCTGATCGCAAATCCGTGCTACCGGAAAGGATTTGCAAAGTCAGAAGCAATGTCACTTTTTTCTTTTTTTAAGTCCTATCCTTAGGAAGTCCTCCAAAGCCCATGCAGGTAAGTAGGCACAGACAGCCGCGATCCCCACGGATAGGCCGTGATCCCGGCGCAAACTGTGCGTTTGCAGCAGGGACAGCAGCAGCAGCAGGTGCCTCTCGTGTTTGCCGTTCCTGGGCTACCAACACCAAGACACCCTTTTCCTCCTCCGATTTATTTTATCAGCGTGTTGCAAGAACTGAAATAGTTCTGTCTGATAGCAGTGGGTATTTTTAAAGATAGCAGTCTAAGCGTAGCCTGGATGGGGTAACGTTATTTTTCTCGTAGGGCAGAAGAAAACACTGAGCAAAGACCTACCTTGTTCCCTCAGTGCTCCTTTTTGGGTCTCCTCTCGTTTCAGGGTTTTGAAGGCTGCATTTGGCTGGTAGAGGTGGGGTCGTCGCTGGCGCTGAGAGGGGTCTGGGTGGTTTATTGTTTTGAACAGGATTGCCCTTAACGCTTGATATTACGTGGCCTTCGTCTGCATAGGGTAACTCGACTTGCGGCACAGCCATATCTAAGCAGTGGTGTGCCCCTACGCTTGTAGTTCATAATGAAAAAACAGAAGAAAAGATGCACCCAGCTCTCTCCAAAGAGTTTCTGAATCCCCTGTGCTCCTGCACCTTGCTTCACATTTCCATTGTAATTCTTCTCTTTCCTCAGCTTCCTAAATATGTAGATCTTAATCCTGTTCTTCCTGAGCTGTCTCACTAGCGGGTTAAGGGCTTGAAAATTTTGCTTTCTGCTAGGCCTCAATATTGTGTGCTCTTTCTCAGCTGTTTTTCAAGCTTAAATCATTTCTTCCTGCCAAATGGGGCAGTTTCCTTTTGTTGCTTGTTGTTAACATGGGTATTCTAGTTGGAGAAGACTGAAATTTTTGAAATACGATGTCTTAACGTGCGTATTACAAGCGTTAATTTTCCTGGAGGACTTTTTTCCATTCCTGGGATAAGACCCCCGGGCTGTTTGCACGCCTCCAAAATGAGCATTGCATTTCCTAGTTGGTGCCAAAGCAGCTAAGCCTCTTGCCGGGGCTGGGGCATGAACATAAGGGCCATCGTGGAGCAAAAGCAGCAGTCGAGCACTTCACAACCAGCGGCTTTTCCTGCACAAGGTTAAGCTGCTGTCACCCCTCAGCGCCAAGAGCCCTGCACCGTTTTGGCTGCCGTGGGGCATCGTTTGGGGCCGCTTTCCTCCTCCAGCGCGGCGCCGAGCGCCCCGCGGGCCGG